TGGCACCTGGTGAAGTCTGTGGATTCGTTCTCAGAATAAGGTTTTTAAATACATGGAACAGATACGATTATACAGGAAACCAATTATATTGAAATGCAATCATCACAGTCTTGATAGGATTTTTAGATGTATTTTGTACACACATATATACATTAATATATCGCAAAAATTGTGATGTGTGATATGTGATATTTGTGCTTCTTCACTAACACATAAGTAACTCCCCAAACTTTTAAGTACTGATGGACAGAAAGAGGATTTCAAGATATCTGTAACAACTGCAGCATGATTTGAAAATAACCGTCATTTCAGTTAAGTCACAGATTCATATCTGAAGGAAATGAGACATTGTGGTAAGAGATCAGTGAAAAGAAAGGTTTAACAACGTTGTCCCTTCCAGGCTCGTGGACTCCGACTCTGTCCGTGACCTTCCCAACTGGGGTCTTTCCATCAGCCCGTGACAGGGACCCCTGGCCCTGACCAGCCACCAGTTGGGGTCAGCCTCACTGACAGCACTGTCCGGATGTTGAATTTTTATCTAACTCAAGTGTCTCTGTCTTTTAATGCATGACTTTGCCTTGCTGACATTTATTGTGGGTTACCAATACACTTAACCCTATTTCTGTGACCTATTGTGGGTTCTCATTCGCACGTTTCCAGCTGTTCCTATGGGGGGATCCTCCCAATCCACTTCCTGCTTTTGTTAAGTAAGGCAAACTGTCTTTGTTCCAATTTTTCTTCTAAAGGTTTGGAAGGTTTACTCGAATTTCTGTTCACCTGGTGGTTACTTAAAGTTGACACGCACGTGTGAACTCACCTTTCCCGACCCACCTGAAACTAATAAGTACCCAGACTGTCCCCACGAATAAGACATGGCACTTCTTGGCTTCATCTCCCTCCTCCTCTCGCCTCTCCTGCCTGGGATGAGATCATCCGGAGTTCCCTTCCAGACAGTTGAGAGTATTTTCCAGGCTGCGTCCCCCGATAAAAATAGATTCACTGGCTCCTGTAGCCCATGCCTTCCTCTTGGATTGTTTTGTTTTGCTAGAGTATATAATCTAGCAATTATTTCAGATAGTATTTGTTGGAAATAAACTCTCTAAACACTTGGCATGACCCAAAAAAGTGTTTGTTTTTCCTCCCAACCGAATGGCTGTTAGGCCTGGCAGAGAATTACAGGCCCCAATAATCTTCCCTCCAAACTGAAGGTGCCCCTCAATCATCTGGAATCCAAGGCTGCCGAGGTCTGATGTCAGCTCATCCTCTGCTTTCTCTTTTTGGCGGTAATGTTTCTTCCCCTGGGTGTTCCCTTTTGATCTTTTCCTTCGTGTCCTTTTCCTTTTTTTTTTTTTTGAGGAAGATTAGTGCTGAGCTAACGTCTGCGGCCAATCCTCCTCTTTTTGCTGAGGAAGACTGGCCCTGAGCTAACATCCCTGCCCATCTTCCTCTACTTTATACGTGGGACGCCTACCACAGCATGGCTTTTGCCAAGCAGCGCCATGTCCACACCCGGGATCCGAATGGGTGAACTCTGGGCCACTGAGAATCGGAACATGAGCACTTAACCGCTGCGCCACCGGTCCAGCCCCTCCTTCATGTCCTAAAATATCTTCATGCATCTTCCTCAGCCAGGGTGGTGTATTGTTCCCCAAAGGCTCTATCCTTTGGAATTCCTCCTCAATAACTGGATGAGAAAACTGTGGGCTTATTTTCCATGTTTCTTAAGCTTTTCCTTCCTAGTGAGTGTTGTAGAGAATTCTTGAGTTTGAGCTTCCAGCTCGCTAGTTCACGGCCCTGCTGGGTCTGTTCCAATCCTTGGCCCACCAATTGAGTATTTTTCATTTCAACGTCCAAATTTTTTAAGTCCCAAGATATCTAGTTGACTTTTGGAAAGTACATTTTTAAACTTATTTTTATTTTGTCACAACAAACATGATTTTGTTTTTTTTCCTGAAGATATAAATAATATACTGTATTCTTATAAAAACTTATATGAAACATAAGATTATAAAGAAGAAAACAAAAGTCACTCAGAGTTCAACTCTCCAGATGCTGTTTTTAAAGGATGAAAATCTCTTTTATTTTTTCTCTGAAAAGATGCTGTTTTTAGCATGCTCCACTTCAGTGGCCTGGGTTCAGTTCTGGGCGTGGACATACACCGCTCTGTTAGCAGCCATGCTGTGCTGGCAGCCTACATACTAAGAAATAGAGGAAGATTGGCACGGATGTTAGCTCAGGGCAAATCTTCCTCAGGAAAAAAAAAAGTTGTTAAACATTCCATGTGTTCTGAAAACTCTGGCTTCCTCGTGTGTTAGTGTGGGCCACACTGATGTAACAAGGAGACCCAAACAGAGCCGTTCACACAAATTGGATTATTTGTCTGGTACCTACGCAGGTCAAGCAAGTGCTCCAACCAGCCCCGGGCTGTAGTCGCACCTGCAACATGTGGCTTCCATGTTGCTCTGACTGTCTCCTCTCCGGTCACGGGAAAGGAACCACGGAAAAGGGCTCACGGGAGGTCTACGCACCAGCCTAAAATTGGCCAGTGTTGCTTCTGCCACACTATGTTGGACAGAACAAGTTACGTGGCCACACCTATTGCAAGGGAACCTGGTAAATGCGGTGCAGCCAAGGGTCCAGGGGCGAGGGGAAACAGCTTTTGGGGGACAGCTGGACATCTGCAGTCTGCCCTCTGGCCCCAGATATCCACGAGCACCCAGCCTTCTTCTCACATGGAAAAAGATCCCGCCCGACTCAAGGAAGACACCCTGGCCCAAAGCCCAAATCTCCCAGCCTCTCACTGGGTCCGGACGCGTGTCCTCACTGTCAGGCAGGTCATCCGCTGTCTGGCCCCCTCCCCACAATCCGATCCTTAATCTGACCTTCGCTGCAGCCACCGTACGGCCCTCCTTTTGACTGAGCTAACTTCATGGAGGCAACCTTTTCTCCCACTGTTTGGGGTATAAATACTCGGCTCTTCCAACCTGAGTCCCGGATGCCTGGCCTCTGTCTACTGTGTGACAGCACTCACCCTCCGGCAAGGCCACGGTCGAGCAGCCAGGATCGGCCAACACACACGCACACCCTGCTCTTTCCCGTCACCTCCCCAGTTTCCTCAATGTCTTGCCATGGTATAACAAGCAGAGTGCGTTATTATTTCCAGCTCACCACATCCGTTTCCCTGCCATCCACAAGCCAACCACTAAGGCAACACCACATATTTCAGCGATTTGTCACCCCAGCTCCCCGGGTACCCATTTCTGTATTAGTTTGGGTGGGTGTATTAGTCAGCTGTTGCCACAGCAATGCTGTATAACAAACCACACTCAAGTCCCGGGGCTAAAACAACAGTCACTGATGCTCACACTCAGGGCTCTCAGGGCCAAGCAGGGCGGGTTCAGGTCTGCTCCAGGGTTCCCTCATCCTCCTTGGACCAGTGGCTTCCCATGAGCCACTCTTCCAGGGGCACAGGCTTCCTGTGGACAAGGCTGATCGTCACTCAGCCTCTGCTCACTCCACATCTGCCAACAAGCTGCCATTGGCCAAGGCAAGGCACACTGCCAAGTCCCAAGTTGGGGTGAGGCATCCCACCCCCCCAGGGGCCACAGCATGGAGGTGGAAACGAAATCCCACTAGAGGGGACCAAAGAGCTGGGATTAGCTATTTCACCTGGCGCAGGAAGTTAAACTGCTCCAACGTACAGACCCTTGTCCAACAGCCCAAACAAAAGACAAGCTTACTCTCTCTTGAGAACCTGTGGCAAGGCTTCCAAGTCAACAGTGGCCTCGACTCCTGCAGTGGTTCAGGGCCCCCGGCTGACGGGGATTTGAAATCCTGGTAGTGAAGCTTCCTGACTCACTGGTGTCATAGCCATTCGGGCCCACGGGAAGGGGGAGGAGTGTGGAGGGAGGTGCTGCCAGGCACAGGAGTGGCACCTGTCATGTCTGCTCAACTCCACTGCAGAGGAGCTGGTCACATGGCCACACCTCCTTGTTAGGGAATTGGGGAAATGGAGTCTAGCCCATGCACGGAGGAAGGAGAGCCTGACCCAGATGGCCCGCTACAGCCTCAGCCAGCTCATGAGTCGGTCCATTTGCGGTGTTTGGTGCTTCCCGTGGGGCCGGCATCTGTGCTCCTCTTTGTATGTGAAGTTCCCCGTTTGTCCATCAGCAAGCGGTCAGTGGCCTCAAGCGACCGTGTGGAGGGCCCAGCAAGTCCAGGGACATGAGACTCTCTGCTCCTTCCAGGTGTTGTTCACCAATGGGAACTTCTTTGTCCACTGCCTGCTGCTTAGGATAGCGAGGGGTGGGGCCGAGCTCCACAGACACCCTGTGCATCACCCTGAAAGTTGCCCCAGGCCCCCTCAGCTGCTGCCTCTGAGCCCCCGTCACCTGCCCGCGGTTTCTGCCTCAGTGCCTTTGGCTGTGGTTTCTTCCCTCCAGCCAGAGCAATGGCCTCCACATCTCCCCAGGATTCCTCAGGATTTCCGGTTTAAGGGTGCCCTTCTTGTTCTCCTGGTTCTAACGAATTTTAATTTTTTTCTGTCATTTCCAGGCACTGAGGGCAGGAGTTCTCAAGCCTTGAATGCTTAATCCCCAGGAGCAGCATTTCCAAGGCCACGTTGATGGGGTCTGTGGGCTGCAACCTGGCCCGGACCAGGGCAGGCTACTGGGAGGGGCTGCTTGTCCCTGGCTGCTGCATGGCTCGCTCAGCACTCCCCTGATCCCAGGAGTGAGGAACCCCGAGGTGGAGCCTCAGAGGTCATTGTCTAGTGGCTTTAGTAATGAGGTGTTGGACGGTGAATTTGGCGACAGCAGCTCCAGTGACGTGGGGGCCTGACCCTCCTTAGGCCAAACCTGGCAGGTCCCTCTGCCATGCAGCACCTTACTTACCTCCTGGGTTCAACTCAACCCTAGATGGACGAACTGGATCCTACAGGTGGGCCCTTCCTGATCTCTCTGTCCACTGCTTTCAAACCGAACCATCCACAGATGCTTTACTTGAGTTTTATTTTGGTTTATTTGTGATTTCATTTTGAGGCGAGGTTTGGAAACCAAGGAAAATTGGAAGCCACCCTTCCTGACACTGGGGACCACCAAAGCCCATGCCCCTGTTGTGGCTCCTCCTCCTCATGGAATTAAGATTGTGTCTGCTACTTTGAAGAAAAGTGTAGGACTAGAGTCCACAGAAGTCGTCATCTAGAAGCAAGCCAATCTGCTTTGTGTTTCCTTAGGGAAAAGAAGACCTGGAACTAGCAAATGAGCATCCCAAACAGGTCTCATCACCCACCCCCAGTGGGGAAGCAGCAGAATACTTCTCTCCTCCTGCCGTCCCACAGGGCTGAGGGCAGCGGCAGGCCCTTCCCTTGACCTGTCTTCCAGATGAGCTGGGCAGAGGCCCACCTCCCAGGAGGGCTCAAAGAGCAGCAGGCATGCAGCCCTGGCCGTGGAGACTCCAGATCTGAGAGCCCCAGGGCCCTGGCTCTTGGGGTCCTGACATTTCTCCCTCAGTATGACCCAGCTCCGGGGAACAGGAGTCTGCTCCTCATTCGGGGTGACCCTGAGACAACGCCAGGCAGCGCGTAAGACCCGGACAGGCTCCTGGGCCCCTCTCCCACGGCCATCCCCCCGGCCCACCCCAGGGGACCTCGTTGCGGGCAGAGACGCTTCTAAGCAGCACCTCCCTCCGGGACTCCGGGGCGCTGTCCCGTCCTCGCTCTCAGGGCACCCTCCTTCCCTCCCGGGAGTGCTTCGCTTCTCTGCAAGTCCTCGGGGAAATGCGCAAGGCGCGGGGCGCGGATCAGAGCTGTTCTTAACCAACCCCTTCTGGGCCTCCGGGGTCCTGCTGCCGTCCTGCTGCGCAGCCGCCACGCGGGGGTCTTCCCCAACCCCGCCTTCCGGGGCGCGTTTCCGGACAGCGGAGGACAGAGTCAGAGCGGGGAGAAAACGCGGGGGACTGGGGACGGTGAGTCTCCCGCCTCCCGAGCCTCAGTCCTGCCCGCGGGTGCGGGCCTGCCCGACGCCGCCCGGCCACGCACGGACACCCGGGCCGCGGCGCCTACCCACGAGGCCCGCCCGGCCCGCCCATTGGCCCAGACGCGCGCCGCCCGCCTCTCCGCGCAATCCCATTGGCCCGCGCTCGCGGCCCAGACAAAGGGAGCGGCGGCGGCGCGCGGCGATTGGGCAGGGTGCAGGGAGGAGGAGCGGGGAGGAGCGAGGCGGGCGAGGGACAGCGGAGGGGGGCGGGGGGAGAGGAAACGAGGGGAGAGGGCGGGTGTAGGGAGGGGACGGGTGAGGGACGGCGGGGAGGACAGCGGGGCGCGAGGTTGGGGGAGCGCGGGGGTGTGCAGCGGGAGAACTCCGGCGCGGGCCGGGGGCGGGGCGCCTCCGCGTGGGCGGAGCCCGGGCGCCCCTCGAGGACGGCGGCCGTGGAGCGCGGGGAGCGGGGCGCCTGCCCGCCCCTCGGCCCGGCACCCCTCCCGCCCCGGGGCTCCTGCCCCTACCGCTCCCGCCGCCGCCGCCGCCTGGTCTTCCCCGAGGGCTCAGCGTCGGTCTCCGCAGTTTGGCTGGAAACGTGGGAAGGCGGGAGCCCAGGCGGAGAAAGACGCCCCGGGCCCGGACCTGCAGCTGGAGCCGCAGTCCAGCAGCGGGACGCTCGGCTCCGCGGCTTCAGAGTCCCCTTCTGGGTCTACCGGCCGCGGGGACTCTGCGCGCCCGCGCACGGGGAGGAGGTGCGGGCCCTGGCGCTGGAAGATGGACGCAGCGCCCAGACAGGAAGCTCCTCGCGCTTCCTGGAGAGTTGGCTCCGCGGGGTGCGTCGCCGGGGAGGGAGGGACGGGCCGTGGGGCGACCAGCCGGGCGGGGAGTGGCTTCTGGGGGCCCCCTCGCCAGCGGCGGGCCCGCGAGGCCGCCCTCGGAGCGCCGCCAGGTATGTGCGTTTTCCTTGTTTCCCGCGCTCCCAGAGCGCACGCCGGGTAAGGGACGAATAAAAACCCGGTTGGTGTGTAAGAGCCTTTCGCTGCAAACGTGTCTTTCTGCGGGGCTCAGGGAGGGTGGGTCAAGCGCGGGTGGACGCCGGCCGGGGATAGTCTCGTCCTCCGTCCACCTCGGTGTTCGGAGCGAGTGCCCCTTTGGCAAAGCTGGTCGTTTTTCTCTAGGTTCCGTTTAATTCGCTTCAGAGACCATGCGCCTTGCCTCCGCCCGGAGCCGGGGCAACGGGGCTTCGTTCCCTGCTGTCTCTCCAGCCCTATCCCATGCAAAACCCGGATTCTTTGTCGAGCGGGGACGCTCAGCTTCGAGGGGAGGTCGGAGGAAGCTGGGGATGGGGAAACCCGACCTTGGCCCCGTGCTGGGCGTGCAGCTCCCCTTGTCCTGTAGTGAGCCCGTCCTAGCCCCAGGAGCTCCGGACTTGCCGGTTAGGGGAGGCCCGTGGGCTTTGTTATCTTGGGGGGGTTAGGAGAGGTCCGGTAGGCAGGCCGGGGCCTGCTCTTTCCCCTCCCCCATGCCCACTTCAAACAAAAGAAATCCTCAGAGAAGAGTCGTTTTGGGGGGAGAACTCTTCTGAGTGTGAACCTGTAGTTCCCCCCGCCTGTTCTTAGGACGGGAGTGGGTCTTGATAACAAAGGCGTGGGCCAGAGAGAGTGCCGGAAAGGGCGCGCTTTTATTTGGGGATACTGTAAGAGAGAAGAAACCTTCACTTTTTCTCCACTTTCGTACCTGATTAATGGGACTTTAGATCACGTTTGGATTTGGCGTGGTTTTGTTTGAAGACTGTGTCAGAAAAGGAAGAGTCCTAAATACGTGAGAAATTGGAAATTTGGTCTCCACCCGGTGGGGAAAAATCCCCCATGGAGTGAAACGTACTCCTTGCCGTTCGGGAGACTGAAAATGAGGGATTTGATGGTTAAAGGGAAGGGTGCGATTTTGTGTCCTCCCCCCCACCCCCATAAGTTAGAACAAAGGGCCGAATGGGGTGGGAGGCTGAATGGGGCAGGCAGTAAAAAACGCCTCACTTCCCAGTCCCCGCGCACACCCGAGTATTCTCATTGGAATTTGGGCTGGAAAGAAAAGGAGTCCCCCGCCCGCTTGGGTTCTGTACCAATTCCCAGCCCCGGAGAACCCCGCTCGTCCCAAGTCTCGGTTTCTGGGCTGGGCAGAGAGGAGCCCCGGGGGCGGCAAAGGCCCTTCCCTGGGGCAGAGCGCGCACTGTCGGTTTCCACCCTCCGGTGGCGAGGCGAGGGGTTCTGGGCGCCCTCGCTGCGCGTCTCGCCCCGGCGTGGCGCTCCCGGCGCAGACCCGCATCCACCAAAGCCCCGGACCTCACTTCTCTCGAAATAAAACTCAACAAGCCATAAAGGCTCGCGACTCCAGTGGAAAAGGCGCCGAGGATTTATGGTCCCCCGAATTCCCTACACTCTAATTATCCCTGTTTTTAGTTGACTTATGGGTGGTGACCAGTAAAATCATTTTCCACTTTGGAATTTTTTTTTTTAAGACGTGAAAAATGCAAGCTCCGCTCCTTTCTTACCCGCTTGGGCGGACCTTCTTCCGTGCGGGAAGAAAAATCGGGCCTCCCTCTGCCTTCTCGGCCGCCTCTGGTTGGGCTCACCCGGCCTGTCGACCTTCCTCCACGACCTCCTTCATTGCAATTTAAAGGAAAGGTTTTTTCTTTCTCCCGGCACCCAAGGGCGTTCACAGGGATTCCTCCCAAGAACCCCTGTCGTGTGGTGGGCTGGGTGCGGTGCCGACAGCGCTGGGTTCTGAGCCTCATTCGGGGTCGCGGCCTCCACCCTGGCCCAGCGGCTGCGGGAGAGCCAAGCCGGAGAGCGAGCCCCCCCGTGGTCCCAGTCTAGTCATCCTTCATCCCTCGCCCTCCTGGGGGCCCGCGCAGGGCAGGGGGCTGGGGCGTTGTGGGGCCCCCACGGTCCTGCGGGGGGACCCCCAGCCGACCCCTCGCGGCTGCCTGGCGGCCCCATCCCCCATTCTCCTCTCTTTGTTCGTCTCTCCGGACACTCAGTTGAAAGTGGCAGGAAAAAAATAATTAGATGGAAATCAGAGATTAGACGGGGTGCGCTGGCAGCCTCGGCCAGGCCTGGCCAACACTCCGCCGGAGCCCCATAAATCTTCAGGGGCCTGACAAAGCCGTGTCCTCCGCTTACCTGGGGATTTCGGAACTTATCGATCTCCTCCCGGCCGTCCACCGAACACCCCTCTTCGGGAGCAACGGCGGAGAGTCCTTAGGGCCCCCAACTTCTGGCCAGAACACAGCGCCCCCGGCCCAAACCTGGAGTCAGTTAATTCTCAGAAATGGATGAAGGTGTCGCAGCGGGAGGGGGTGGTCTGGTTAGCGAGTGACTGGGGCCCAAGAACCCTGTCCAAGGAAGGGCAGCCAATACCCTACCCCATTTGCGAACCAAAGAAATGTTTTTAGGGGGCTGCATTTTCCTACTCCAAGCTGCGGAGAAGGATGCGCGACAGATTAACCCCTCGGTGGCGACTCCTTTGTCTGGCCCGGCCACTGCTGAGACGACAGAGCGGCGCCCTCGGCCTGAGGACTGGGCACCAGTGCCCGAGGAGCGCGCCGGCCGTCCGAAGGCCCCTTCTCCAGCCCAGGTGTGCAGGCTGCGGGCGGGGCCTCGGCGGCAGGTTCGGCTGAGCCACGCGGTCTTCGGGGCCCACGTGCGATGCCCCGGGAGCTGCGCCCCTGACGCCACCAGCCATGGAGCGGGAGAGAACGTGAAGGAAGTCTTGGGCCGTTTAGATTGTTTTAAAAACTCGAATTAATTGGGAAAATAGTAACTGTGCTCCCCAACGCAAAGAAGAGGTTGAGAGGGGAAGTCTTTTTTTAATTATACCCCCTTGTTGTGGCGGTTGTTTCTGACCTTTTCCTACTATTAAGAGAAATGTTGCCACATTTAATTTTTGTTGCCATGAGATATGCAGAGGGTAGCCCAACATTTTGAAGTAATTTGATAAGCTTTCGAGTAGCAAATCCGAAAGGGAGGCTGGCGGCCCAGGTATAGTTTCTTTATAACCTGAATTTACAATGAAAGCATTCTCCTTTATGGATATAATAGATTAGATTTCACAACTTAATTCACCGGAATGGCTCCGTTTAAGGGAGCTCCGGCTGATTTTATTACGCCAAGCCAAATTGGATGTTTGTGGTCTTAACGAAAAGCGATTGTGACATAAAATATATAATTTTTAAAGTAAAGAAACCCAGCGGGTTCGACCCTGTCCCCTCCTCTCCACCCCCGGTCCTCCTCACCCCCGGTTCCCCAGTTTGGGGAATGCAGAGAATTATTTGTTTGTTGATTTCCGCCAGAGACAGGAACTCACACCCGGGAGGGGCCGGGCGGGAAGCGCCGCTCGGGCGGGGGCTGGGCGCCGGGGGCAGCGGGCCTCGCCTCTCCCGCGGCCTCTCCCGCTGGGCCCCGCCGCTCGCCCTTCCCACGCCGCGCAGGCCTCGCCGGCGGCGCGCACGCGGTGCCGTTTCCCCCCGAAGGCGTGGGGCCCGCTTCTCGGGCTCCTTCGAAACGTCGAAACCCCCGGCACAGGCTCCGGAGTCTCGGGGCCCTCGGAACACCCATGGGGGCCGAAGCGTCTGCTCGCCCCGCGGCGCAGGTACAGCCGCCCCTGGAAGCGCGCGTGGGATGCCGAAGGGCGCCCCTCTAAAAGCCCTCGCGCGTTCCCCAGGCAGGGCCCTGCGCAGGCCGAGCCGCGGGCCTCGGCGGGACACCAGGAATGGAGCAGGCTCGTCTGCGCTACTCGCTGCAAAATGACTGCGCTCCCGCAGGGCCTGCTCCGCGCCCGCGCCGACGACGAGGCCTCGCCCAGGGTGCCAGCAAGACCCACCGCGTCCCGGACCCACTGCGTTCTCCACCTGCAGCCCCTCGGGGGCCCAGACGGCGAGTGAGGCCCTGGGGAGTGGGCGTCAGCGCCCAGAACTTTCCAGGCCCAGCCAAACCCCCGCCTCTAAGCGGACCGACCCCAGAGCCCGCCCTCTCCGCCCGGCGGGTTGACGCTCCCTCCCCCAGCGGAGAAAGGCGCAGCCCGCTGGGCAAGTGGAGGACCGAGGTGGGGATGGGGTCTTGATGACCCTGCCCGAGCCTGGCCCGCCAGCGCCCGCGGCCCATTCCCCTGTCACTTATGATTAAGGTCGGGCTCCATTCTCCCGATAGCGGCGTCCTCCTCTTCCTTTCTGCCCCCCGCCCCCATTTATTGG